TTATTAACGGATAAAAATTTACTTTGTAATTAATAATTTTTAAGTGGTCGGATACTTTTGCTAGGTGAGTGTACATGGTTAGTACTATTGTCAAAGGTAAAAACAACTGTTGGATTAGGAAACTTTGCTTCAAAAATAGGAATTGCTTTGGATTTAATCTGTTCTACCAAATGTTCAAAGGTTCAATAACCTTCTTGATTCTTGCCAAGTAGAAGATAGTAATGTAATTCTATAGGTATATTCAGATTTCTTGTTACCTCTTCTTCATTAAGTTTCAATTTACTACAAGCTTTCAAAATAAACTCACTCACCATAATTGATCTTCCATTTCCTTTCTTTCACAATAGCATTTTCCCATCTGCTTTTCAAATTCTTCTTTTTTCATCATTTGCATAAAAGATACATTCATTGTGAGTAACAAGAATCAACTCTTTTTCACCTGGTACAAGTACTAGTGGAATCACTTCCATTTCTATTCTTTTATATCTTGCCATTCATTGTTCCAATTCTTTTATTGTCTTTAAAAATTTTTTTCTATATTTAATAACATCTTCTTATTCATACCTATTAAAATAAATAACTTTTTTATATCCTTCAAATCAGTATCTCAAGATATGCAACTATCTATTAGTAATTTTTAAGCTAATTATTTTTCTGGTCCTTATATATTCAGATAAAATAAAATTTCAATATATTATTTAAAATAAGATAAGTTAATACCATTTAAATTTGATTCTTGCTGTATTCACTGTTACAAGCTCAATACAATATTCTTATCGTCAACAAGTTATTTGTATTTTTTGATACTTGTCATAATGTGAAACTGGAAATGATTTGTAATTCAGATAAAATTTAGCTAAGGAATGAATTCATTTAGCTATATATGGCTTTGAAACAATATAGCTATATGTACCTCTTCTTCACTAGATTTTATTTTTCCATTGCTATTATTTAGCTGTATGAAATATTCATAAACAGCATATTGTCTGTTGTACTCAAAGGTTGTAAGTGTCTTTTCATTTTTGAGAAGGACATTTTAAAATTATATAATTCTTTTACAAAGTATTGAATCTTCATTTATTTCATCCAGAGATCCAGGTAGTATAGAAGACATCAAAGGAAATAAAAGAACTACCAGTAGACTTGTTGACAAACTCACTTGAAAAATCACCAGTAGACAAATCAGCAGATCCATTTAAAGACTTTTTGTTTCTTCAAAAAATAGTAATTTTAGATGTTCTCTTAAAAACATTGACAAGTACTTCAGAAGTACCAAACTTACAATAATAAGTTATTTTTGATATTCCTTTTATCATTCTTTTATTATTTTTTTCAAGTTCATTCTATATAAGAGCTGTTGCAAGTAGGCATGTTTATATTTTTTCTTCATTTTCTTCTTCTTCTCTTTCATCAACTTCTACATTTTCTTCATTAGTTGCAATATTTTTCTTTCATTAATAGATAGTTACTTTCTTTTGTTGTATTCTTAAAATTTGATATTTTTAATTATGAAAAATTTTTTTTCCATCCTTATGTAATAACAAATAGTCAATAATATTTAAAAATATGATTTTTTATTAATCAATAGAATTGCATATATAATTTTATTAACTAATAACAAGTTATATTTTTGTCCTATTGGATATTAATCATATAAAGGTAAGATATTTTTGAATTGATATAAGTTGGGAATGAGTAATTATTTTTTAAAAAAGAGATTAACAGTTTGTATTAAATTAACTTGACTTCAAAATATCAACTTCCTTTTTTTGGTATTACTTCTATATCACATTCTATAACTTTTTAAAAATTATTAAAATTATTGAAGTCTTTAAGTGTCATATATAAAAATGGCATCCACAATTATGAATTGAAAATTATGGTATTACTTCTTGTATTGTAATTATTGAAGATTTTAATAATAAAAAATTTGCAATTTCACAATTTGCAATTATCTGTAATTCCTCAATTATTCTGCAATTCTCAATTATTCTGTAATTTCGCAATTATACCACAAGTCTGTAATTATTTCACAAGTTTGCAATTATTCTGCAAGTCTGAAGAAAGGTATCACATAAAGATAGGAAAAGAAAGAAAAAAGAGAGAGAGAAAAAAAAGAAAATGAGAAAGAGAGAAAGGGAAGAGAGAAAAAGAGAAAGGGAAAAGAGAGAGAAAGAAAGGGAAAAGAAAGAAAGAGAAAGGAGGAGAAAGAGAGAGAAAGAGAAGAGAGAGAGAAGAGAGGAAGAGAGAAAGAAAAGAAAAAGAGAAAGGAAAGAAAGAGAGAGAAAAAGTGAAAAGAAAGAGAGAGAAAGAGAAGAGGGAGAGAGAAAAAGGAAAGAGAGAGAGAGAGAAAGGGAAGAGAGAGAGAGAGAAAGGGAAGAGAGAGAGAAAGAAAGGGAAGAGAAGAGAAAAAGAAAAAGATCTTTAATCATATATCTATAAAGTTGATTTTGACAATTTTGACTTTCACAAGTGTTTTCACGAACCAGCAAAAGGTAGAGAAGAAAGGTAAGTATAAAGGTTTTATATTTTTTTTTTTTTTAAAAAAAAAAGGAACCTTTAATTATATATTTATAAAGTTAATTCCAATGATTTCAACTTCTACAGGTGTTCTCATGAATCAGTGAAAGGTGGAGAGAAGAAGGGTAAAGAAAAGAACAAGGTAAGTATAAGATTTTATTTTTAATAAAAAAAAGACTCACCTTTAATTATATATTCGCAAAATCAATTTTGACAATTTTGATGTCTATAGGTATTTTCATGAACTAGTGAAAGTTAAGGAGAAGAAAGGTAAAAGCAAGGACAAGATAAATATAAGGTTTTATTTATTTTTTAAAAAAAAAGAAAAAAAAAAAAACTCATCTTTAATTATACATTCGCAAAGCTGATTTTAATGATTTCAACTTTCACAAGTGTTCTCATGAACCAGCTAAAGATAAAGGAAAGAAAAATAAAGGCAAGAACAAAGTAAGCATAAAGGTTTTATTTTTTTTAAAAGAAAAAAGAAAAAAAAACTCATCTTTAATTGTACATTTTGTGAAGTCAATTTTAACAATTTCAATTTTTACAGATGTTTTCATGAATCAGTGAAAGTCAGGAAGAAGAAAGATAAAAGTAAAGACAAGGTAAGTATAAGGTTTTATTATTTTTTTTTTTTAAAAAAAAAAAACTTATCTTTAACCATATATTCGTGAAGCTAATTTTAACAATTTCTGCTTTCACAAATATTTTCACGAGTTAGCGAAAGGTGAGAAAAAAAAGGATAAAAGCAAGGACAAGGTAAGTATAGGTTTTTTTTTATTACTTTAAAAAATAAAAATGAGTTTTTATTTTTTTTTTTAAAAAAAAAAAAAAAAAAGAAAAAAAACTTACCTTTAATCATACATTCGCAAAGCCAATTTCTACGATTTTGATCTCCACAAATATTCTTACAAACTAGTGAAAGGTGAAAAGAAAAAGGATAAAAACAAGGAACAAAGTAAGTATAAATTTTTTTTTATTGTTTTAAAAAATAAAATGAATTTTTATTTTTTTTTAAAAAAAAAAAAAAAAAAAAAAGAAAAAAAACTCACCTTTAACCATATATCTGCAAAGACAATTTCTATGATTTTGATCTCCACAGGTATTTTCATGAGCCAGTAAAAGGTAAGAAGAAGAAGAGTAAAAAGTAAATATAGGTTTTTTTTTTAAAAAAAAAAATTTTAATTATCAAGTTACACAAACTTGCAGAACGATTGAGGAATTGCAAAACAATTGAAGAATTGTAGAATTGTAGAACAATTGCAAAATTGTGGAGCAATTGAAGACATACGGATTAATTGAGGATATATGAATTTTTATCACAATTCCATCTAAAAAATTTACAATATTAAAAATTTGAAAAAATAATTGAGGATACTATTTTTAATTATGTATATTGTTATAAAAAATGATATAGTAAATGTTAATATTTATATTTATTTATGGCTAAGTGCAATTAATACAAAACAAAAATCATTAGTGACTATGGTAGCTTCATTATCAAAGAATGTTATGTGCATTGTTATCTATATTGAAATTGAATCTCTGTGTCTCCTGATTATTATTATCATATAAGAAAATCATGTGTCTCTTTATAATATATTGTGATTGCACTGTGACATATTTGCAAACTTTTGTGTACCCAATGTCTAAAGATTGATTGACAGAAAAAAATCTTTCTACATAGTATTAAGATATGATGATAAACTGTATAGTACAAAACATTATTTTGTACTGTATGATTTTATATAAATTTTTGCACAAAATTTGTACATTAATATATATTATAAAAATCTAATTGTACTATATGAACTTTTTTATGTTAAAAAACTGTACAGTACAAGTATTTTTATATTAAAAAGCCGAACAGTACTAAATATAAACCCAACCCCTGTAATATATTATTGTCTAGGGTTTGTGTCACATGCAAATCAATTAGGGGTATATTATTCGTCACAATTATATAAAATTCCAACGGTTAAAATATCACGTGATATCAGTTAATCAACCGTACAAGCCACAAATAAATCGTACAAGTACAGTACAAAATAGCGTTTCGTACCGTACAGTTTATCTGTATACCCATAGTATTACATGTGCAGGCGTATTTATTTTATTATCTTTTCGTTTAAAATCGGTTTATAAAATTTAATTTTATTTAATATTGAAAATTTGTAATATTTGTAATATAAATAATAAAATAATATAAATTTGATAATAGATTTATTGAAATATGAATAACATAAATTTAATATATTTATTCGGGATTAGTTTTTGCATTTTGATGCGCAGCCTCGGGATTTCTTTCCCTTGGTTCCAAATTTAATTTTTGTGCGGTAACGTGAATTGCGTCTTGAATTTTTTCCTTTACATTCGATCGAGAATCACGTTCAGTCTTAGGATCAGGCTTTTTTTTCTTTGGTTCTAAATGTAATTTTTGTGCGGTAACATGAACTGCGTCTTGAACTTTTTCCTTTACAGAAGGATGCTTTTCTTTTTGATCAATTGAATGATTATCGTTACTTTGAAACATTTTTTATTTGATTGGTTGAGAGTTCTAATACTTAAAAAAATGTTTGTCTTTTTTAGCGTTGTTATTTATAATTTTTGGTTTGAAAGCACATGATATCTATTTACTAATATAGTTTATAAAATACGTAATTGATGCGTCATGGTTCAAATTGAATTTAACTATGTATGGAGAACTACAGCTATAATAAATTTCTCCTAGATCAAAACCCTTAAAAAGCCTTAGAAAGCCTTAGAAATCGAGAAGTACAGTAGTTGTAATGAACTTTATTTACATTTGGTAATTTGTAATTGTTAGAATTGTTAGAATTTAAAAAAGTCTACAAGTTGTATCTATAAAAAAAAAATTCTTTGGCATTACTTCATTACTTTTTGTCTATATATGATATCTAAAAGAAATATTTCATTTTCAAATATAATTTTAAATATAAAAATTTATTTATAAGCTTTGATTTTATTATTTGAAAAAAAAAAATCGGTGACAATTAGATGATTTTTTTTCATCCAAATATATTGTTCATGTCATGTATTATTTCTTTTCCAATAAAATTTTGAAATAAAGTTTATCTCAAATTTTATCTCACAATTTCAACCAAAAATTCAACCAAAAATTTCACCACAAAGCTCTTCTTCTAATTCTCTCTGCTCTAATAACTCTCTTTTTCCATCCCATCTTACTATAAAGATATTCTTTCCTAGCCTCAAGAATTGCTTTTCTTTCTAGAGGCAAAGGCGCAAATTGAGCAACGATATGTGATGGACAATCAAACATCTTACTTAACACACTTAAACTATATTTCGCTGGATCTGATGCTCTCAATCGTCTCATTTCTTCGATTTGCTCTTCAGTGTGTTTACGTTTTCTTTGTTCTTTAATGGGTCTAAGTGGTGGTGGTAATTGATCAACAGTAATTTTTGGAGGAGTCAATGGGACACGAGAAATAAACAGACTATTATCATCTAATTTTTTTTCACCATAAACAGGTGCCGCAAGTGGTGAAATTTTTTTAGGTTTGCGAGCTGTATAATGACGAGCTTGAAAAAGAAAATTTTGACATCTCGATGAACTTTTGAAAAATGATGTAAAAGGTTTAAAGGTTCGTATGATAGTAGTAGTTGGTTTGAAAAAGGAGAAAGCCATTTTAAATAAAATAAATAAAAATAAAAAGGAATTGGAAAAAGTAATGTAGTCGTGTGTAACATCTATCTATGCAAGCAGTAGAAGAGTATGTGGCACAAGTGATATATAAGATTCAAAAAAAAAAAACTTTATTTCAATCTCTTTATTGATCTAATATCAAAAATGGCCCAGTCTTCATTTGTTTTCGGTGTATCTCCAGAAGGATGGAACGAAAGTACACAGTACCGGATCTATAGCGGAATCTCAGGTTCTTTTAAACTTCCCAAGTTCTAAAGATTATAAGACGAGTGTATATGCTGCAAGCGATGTCAACTTTCTACTCATGAATTCCAGGCAGTGTCAATAGGAACATTGAACCTGTTGGTCGTTTCTTTCTTGCACATGCTCGTCGAAAGTTAAATAATCATAGTTTTGATGAAGACGACCGCATTCAAGCGGAAGCTGCTATTAAACAGGAGGACGAGGTAATAGATTTAAAGGATGAAGAAGAAGAAACCCCAGAATTGCTATCTCGAGATCCCAAAGACTGGAAGGTATATTATATTATTATTGGAATCAAATAATAAATTGTTATTTTTTAGTTTTTCATTACAACACGAGTATGTTGATTTGATTTGTGAATTCAATATATGCTAGGAACAAGACCATTATGCAGTTTTAGGTCTTTCCAAATATAGGTGGAAAGCTACAGATGATCAGATTAAACAAGCGCGTAAGCTATAGTTATAATGGATGCCAATGGAAATGCTGAATATTTAGATCAATTAAGCAATAATTATATCGATTCACGGCGTTTTAGATAGAAGGAAAGTTCTTAAGCATCACCCGGATAAAAAAGCATCAAGCGGAAATACAAATGATGATGCATTTTTTAAATGCATTCAAAAAGGTACTTTTTTGAATTTTAATCATTTAAAGATATAATACATAATACATAATACATAAGATATTATTTACTTATTATTATTATTATTATTATTATTATTATTTTACAAAATAGCCTATGAAATTCTTTTTGATCCCGTTAAAAGACGTCAATTTGATTCCGTCGATGAAGCTATTGACGACTCGCCACCCAGTCTAAAGGCCAAGGGTGACTTCTTTGAAATTTATGGTCCAGTATTTGAACGTGAAGCAAGGCAAGTTTTATTATCCGAAATCATTTTTTATTTCTAATAATCATCACTTTTAATATCTTTAAAAAATTTAGATTTTCAAATAAAACTCCTGTTCCAATGCTGGGAGATATAAATTCCCCTAAATCAGAAGTGGAGGCATTTTATGATTTCTGGTATTTATTATATTTGTAAAACTTTTTTTTTTATATATAAAATATTGCTTATTAATTTTAATATTGATTTCTGATATTGATTTTTGATTAGGTATAACTTTGACTCTTGGCGTTCGTTTGAATATTTAGATAAAGAAGATGCAGATGGTTCCGATAAGTAAGAGTTAACCTGATCTTTTTTTTTGCGTTGTTTTCTTCATTAAATTCTGTCATTTAAACAATCATGTTGGAAATAATGTATTTAATATTGTATACTTATTATATTATTTATTTATAGCCGCGATGATAAACGTTATCTTGAGCGAAAGAATAAAACTGAAAGGGCAAAACATAAAAAGGAAGATACACAGCGATTAAGAAAAATTATTGGTAGATTTGTTGATTATGAATTATGAATTGAATTAACTTTCTTTTTTTGATATATATTATATTATATATACCGATAGATTTATGAATTTTATTTATTACATCGATAGATCAAGCACTGTCATTAGATCCAAGAATTTTGAAATTCAAGCAAGAAGAAAAAGCCGCCAGAGAAGCCAAGAAGAAACAAAGGGAGGATGCTGTCAAGGCTTCACAAGAAGCGGCAAAAAAGGTTCTATTTCCTGAAATTTTGATTATTTATATTTATTACTTTATTAATTAAATGATTAATAAAAAAATTTAACATATAATTAATTTAATTTAGGCTGCTGAAGAGGAGAAATTAAAGAAAGAGCAAGCAGAAGCTGAAGCCAAACAGAAGGTTTGTCAATGAGCAAGATGATTTTTTTATATAAAAAAGGATTTGAAATGATTTGAACTTCTAATGAATTTATATTTGATTATAGCAACAAGGGGAAAAGAAGAAAAAGGAAGCATTGAAGAAGTCTATGCGTAACGAACGTAAAACCATCAAGACATTTGTCAAAGTAAATTTGTTTTAATTACATAAATTTAACTTTATGATTTTAAAAATTTGATTTCATAAAATTAATATAATAATATTTTTATATTCAGAATTATAATTATTTTTATCCGACCAATGAGTCTCCCCCTGCAGACGTTATTGGTAAACAATTGTCTGAATTAGATCTTTTATTCGAGAAATTGACATTAGAAGAACTTCAAAATGTCCGAAATCAAGTGGAATCCGCAAAAGATAGTAATGGAGTGAAACAAGCTTTAATAACCGAAGTAACAAGACTAATAAATTCTAGTGTTTTGTCACCCGATACTATTACACATTTCAAACAGTGTATTTATAATTCATTTGTTAATTTGACTTTCCATGTTAATTTATTAAGATATTTATTTATTATAAATTTATTATCAATTTCAGCGGATATTACTTTAAATGTCATTGTTCCTGTTAAAGGATCGAGTACAGAAAAAGACAATGCATCAAAGGGTGAAAACAAGAAGGAACCAAAGGAACGACCTTGGGACGTAGATGAGATATCGTTACTGATAAAGGCTGCAAACAAGTTTCCAGGTGGAAGCTTAAATAGGTAAGTTAATTAGAAAAAAAAAAAAAAAATTCGAAAGCAAAATAATAATAATAATTTATTATAATGACCAAACAAAGGTGGGAAAAAATTAGCGAATTTGTTGCAGACCATTCTGGAAAACCGCCACGGTCAAATGAAGAACTTATAAAAAAATCTAAAGAAGTTCAAAAAGGTTAATATTATTGATTATTTGATTATATTTGATACATAGTATTTAGAAATATTAATAGATGATTAAATTATTTATAACAGGCGCAAATGCATTGGACGAAGATGATGTGCGAAAGTTGCAGCATCAAAAGAAACATACAGATACGCGTATATATGAAGATCCTTCTATGCGAGAAGCTACCATCAATTATGATGATAAGCTGCGTACTCAAACTAATGTGCAAACTAATGTGCAAACTAATATGCAAACTAATGTTCAAACTAATGCGCAAACTAATGCACAAAATAACTCAAAAACATCATCAAAACAAGGCAAAAATAAGATGAAATCTAAGTCTCTGTCACAACCTATTGAATCTCGAATAACGGAAGTTTCAGCAGTGAAGGTAGAAACTTCAATAAAATCAACCGAAGCAAATTCTATAAATGGATCTACTTCAAAAGCTTCCTCAAGTCCTTCCTCATCGACTTCCGTAACAAATGTATGGACTGCTACTCAGCAAGCACAATTAGAACGGGCGTTACAAATGTATCCACCTTCATGGAAAGGAGATGTTGATAGATGGGACAAAATATCAAGTGCAGTTGAGGGTAAAACAAAAAAAGAATGTAAACTTAGAGTAAAAGTGAGTATATGACTGATTGAATAATTATTGATATCAATTCCTATCTAAAATTTTATTATCATCTTTCCACTTTTAGTATTTATCAGAACAAGTTAAGGCAAAGAAAGCCGCGCAGTCTATAGAAAAATAATAAATAGCAACAATTTCAAAGAAAATAATTATCATTCATTTTGCAATGTTGGATTACAATTAATATAAAAAACGGTTGCCACTTTATTATAAAATAAATTATATATGTAACTTTATTAGAAATTTTAAAATTATTCAAAAAATTTAGTGTGTCACCAAAAACTAAATAATTAAAGTCTTTATACAATTTTAAGTTTACCATTTGACTGGTAAATTTGCTCTATTTACAAGTGCCGCTTTATGCACTGATTCTCTTTGTTGCAATGCAGGACTTTGACCATTAATAACAGCTAAAATTTCTAAAGCTAATCTTTCACTGAATTTTTTTCCAGGTCTTTTATCCGAAGCATTTAATATCCATTTAATAGCCTTATGACGTTTTTGACGTTCGTTAAGTGGAATAGGAATTTGTATATTCTTTGAATTTTGTTTATAACCTATAAGACGAACTAAAGGAGAAGTTTTTTCGATAGAAGCTTTAATAATTTGATATGGATTGTTTTTGGTTTGTTTACGAATTTCCAGACAACAATCGGCTACATAACGTTGGGCACTAGCTTTTTTTCCATCTCTCATTATCATGTTTGTTAATTGAATCATAATAGGATCATTCATTTCATTATTAATTTCACTCGAAGTAACATCAATATCGTCAGTAATATCCAGTAGGTTTATCGAATCCTTTTCTGTGGTTGATTGAACATCAGGAGTATCAATATTTAAAGCAGTAGTAGCATCATTACTCTCCTTTGATTTCGATTCAGGTTTTATCTCATAACGATCAACAAGAACGGGATTTGTATTATTATTGATTCTTTCGATCTTATTAAAAAAGGATTTATCATTGTTGTTACCATCATCATTGTCATTCGGTTTATTCGAACTGAGAATGGATTTTAATAATTGGAAAGCTTTATCATCTTTATCATCACCATTATCATTTCCTGAATGGAAAGAATTTAAATGAAAATGAAATTGTAAAAATATCGATGAAAGTGGAAAGGGCTTTGGTGATCTTATAAATGATTGAAAATTTTTAAGAGTGAATTGTTTAAAAGATGATGTTATAAAATACATTATCGATGAGAAGAAAAGATTCGATGCTTATATGCTTATATGCTTATATCCACGTGACACATACCTACTGTGTAGCAAAGAGTTCGTTTTTGATAGACCTATGGTTATTTTTTGATATGGTGCCGGTAATTTTTTAGATCATGTCTTGAAGAACAAAGTTACCGGTTTACTTTTTTTAGATTTTTCCTTTTTAAGGTGATGATAGGTTTTAAAGTGATACAATTTCCGGTTAGATTTTTGATTGAAAAAAATTATGGGCATTTAAAGTTACAGTACATGATTTTCATATGATTGGAAATAATTAGAATTTTTTATGAAAAATTTTATTGCCACTTAAAAACAAAAAGACAAAGACAGGTTGACAAATTACACAAGAAAAAAAGGCTGTTACATATCTCAAGAGTTAACAGTTACAAATGAAATTATTAATTTGGAAGAAAGTGAAGTTGTAATAGAAAATGAAACTGGTTATTGAACTGAAGAAGACTTAAGAGAATTTGAGACAAAAAAGATACTTATTACTGAGAAAAACTTAAGAGAATTTGAGGAGACAGAAAAAAGACTTATTACTGAAGTTCTTTATTGGCATAAGGGCTCTGCAAGTAATATTAGAGTAGTATATACTGGAACTTTAAGAATAACTACTTGGAGACAAAAAAATAAAAAAAAAGAATTAGAAAATGACATTGTTACTAGCCAACCTTCTAGACTAATTTTGTTTTTCAAAAGATAAGTTACAATTAGCAACTCATAAACAAGAAGAAATGTGTTTACAAATTATAAATATAAACTTAACTAGAAATTAAAAAACAAGAATAATTTAATTATAAAGTAATAATAAAGAACTTAGAATTTATATGATCAATTATTAATTATATTAAACTGACTAATAAGTTTAAGTGAATAATTTAAGAAATTAAGGCTATAGATAAAAATATTTGCTAGAAAGTTACAAGGTATTACCAAGAGTTTATTATTAGAAAAATAATGGAATTTAAGTAAAAAAGATATATGTTTATTATTAAATTCTATCAATTAGAATTGTCAAAAATATTAATTCAATATCAGAATTAAAATACAAATTCAATATAGTGAGTTCTTTCAAAGTTCTTATAAATTTTCTATTATAATAATTAAAATTAACATTATTAATTTGAATTTTTTATTATTTGAACCATCAGAATATATTATATCATATATCTTCAAAATATTCATATATCAATTTGAAGTAAATTAATTTTTTCAAATAGTTTGAATACTTATATTGTTATTATGAATATGTTAATAAAGGGAGAACTTGTTATAATTCTAAATACTATTACATAAAACCTTAATGTAATTATTTAATAAAATAAATTCTTTAAAAAAAGATCTTTAAATTATATAAAAAAATTTTAAATTTTTTTACCTTATAAATTTACAAAAATAACTTATTAGTTTTTGTTTCTTTGAAAATATTCTATTGATATATATATTATTAATATTTTTATATTACAAAATAAAATCGTATATGTCAAGTAATAGTATTATAAAATTAATTTACTTGATATAACAACAGAATAAATTATAAGAAAATATAAATATACCATTTCAAAGTGTTTATAAGTATATGTTAAAGTTAATAAGGTATTCTTAAAAGTAAATAAAGTATAAAATATATTTATTTACTTGTTAAGTTATAAAATAAAGTTGATGTAAATCAATAAATATTATTAAATATATTTTAAATTATTGTCTTTTATTGATGTATTTTGATACACTGGTTGAAAATTAGTAAAACATATACATATCGAGTACCCGATATGTGCATGGTATATCCCTAATATCGGACATATTTCGGGTACCCGATAGGTATAAAAAATATTTTATATATATATCGGATACCCAATAAGTGTAAAAAAATATTCTCTACACCTATCGGGTATCCGATATATATCCGATATTAGGGACGTACTATGCACATATTGGATACCCGATATGTGTATATTTTATCAATTTTCGACCAGTGATATAACAATAACAAAAATATGAAAATATAATTTATTTCTTTTTGAAGAGTTTCATATAGATTGTTTAGAGAGAATAAAAGTAGTTATTCTGAAAACAAACAAAAGAATATATAGTTAAATAATAAGTCACATAAGATAACTGATCTTGTTATACAAATAAAAAAAAAAACATTAACTTTCAAAGAAAATTTGAAATGATAATCAACAATATGATAAATTTCAAAAAATATCGATATTGATCAAAATGTAGTGATATAAATTTCGAAAGATATTTGTTAATTATCTAATTATTCTGAAAATCTTTAATTATAATATATTAAATTATCAAAGGTTTTGGAAACATATTAATATTAATAAACTTTGGTATCTAATAAAATTATAACAATAATATAATTATATTCAGTGAACATAAATACTAACTTTAATTGTTGTAATAAATTTTAAAAGATATTGTTAACAATGCAATTTCACTATAATAAACTTTGATAAATATTGTTAACAGTGCAATGTTGATTAAAAGTGCTGTAATAAACTTTTGAAGAATATTATTAACAATACAATGTCAATTAAAATTATTGTGATAAATTTTGAGAATATCATTGACAGTATAATGTCGATTAAAATTGGTGTGATAAACTTCGAAAGACATTATTAACAATACAATGTCAATTAAAATTGCTACAATAAACTTCAAAAAATATTGTTAACAGTGTAATGTCAATTAAAAATTATAGTGATATAAATGCAAGTGATGACTATCGAAATGATATATTATGAATATCTAACATAAATAAATGTAATTGATATGAAATTATTACAAAAATAATAATATTTGTAAAATTTCGTACATGAAAATATCAAAATCGATAACCTTTGAAGATTATTGACACGAATTTATTACAAAAACAATAATATTTGTAAAATTTTACACATGAAAATATCAAAATTGATAAATCTTCGAAGGTTATCGATATGAATTTATTACAAAAATAATAATATTCACAAAATTTTATCATGTTATTATTATATTTTTTTATCCTCTTCATTATAATTGCATTTTCGTTCTCGTTTCCATCTATCACACCCTGTTACTGTAAATCTTTGTCTATATAATTTTCCTTTTAATTGTTACTACCCTCTTTACTCTTTTTTCTCTTTTCTTGATATTACTTATTAATACTTATTACTACTTACCTTCGCTTATCTACTTATTTTATACTACCCACTTCATTTTCGTCCTCTTCACCACCCCTCTGTCCTGAATTTGTCCTAAAAATCTTGATTCTTTATTCTCTTTTTTTACCTATAATTATAAATTCTTTTAACTATATCTGTTATGTGCTACGTGATTTCTGATATATTGCAGACTGCAGATGTTGTGGTTTACTGCAGATTACTTAGAAATTATCATTTTACTTAGATGGTGATCACTTTTCCTAGTGAAAGACCACTCATCAAGGTGAAGATGCAAATGTTTGAATTGCCACCACCTTCATAGTAACCAGAAAACTAAGTAAGACTGAAATTGAGTTTATTTTATTATTTTCTTTCTTTTTCTTTCTTTTTTCTTCTTTCATCATATAATCAATTGATAAATTAATTTATATTTTTAGAATAGAATTGAAAATCTATAAAAATAACTTTAATTTTTCTTCTTTATGAATTAGTTAATCAGTTAATCAAAATAAATTATTAAAAATCAATAATCACAATTAGTTAATAAAGTAATCAATTAGTAATTAATGAATTTTGATTAATCTTTTAGATAGTTTTTGAGTAAACATAGGATAGATTTCTTCACTTTCTTTATTTCTTTCTGTATTTTCTCTTATATGTGTTGCCCAAATTCCAAATCATTTGGGATTTGGAATGCCAAAATCCCAAATTACTAGTATTTGGGATTTGGGATTTGGGATTTTGGCAAAAAATACTAATCATAATTTGGGATTTGGGATTTGTGATTTCGGCATTTGGAATTTCGGCATTTGGATTTTGAATTTGGGTGGCAGGTATATTTTCTCTATTTTCTTAATAAAATCTTTCTTTTATTTATAGATAAGTTATACACATGTTTATTTCTTTCTTTGCATTTATTTATAAATTATAAATAAAGTTTACATTGTATAATCTAGAATAAACTATTGATCTTTGCTCAAACTATCACATGACTTAGCCAGAATTTACTTTTTTTATTCCTTAAACCCATCTATCCTTTAAATCCTTACAAAGTCTTAGTGAAACTATTCCATTTTATTTTTTATTGTCTTTAGATTAGAATTTGCCATATTTTCTCTTCTCTATATTCACTATCCTTTCTAAATTGTTTCTTCTTTATTTTATCTAGTTTCTTAGTTTATAGTATAGAAAATTAGTTACTTTATTATTATTTGTCTTTCCATACTTCCAAAAACTTATTGATAACTACTGAGCTAAATCTAAACACTTGTTGTACTTGCCTCTTCACTCTTCCAACATGTAGTATCAATGTGAAAATATCAAAATCGATAACTTTTAAAGGTTAACGAAGACCTTCAAAGGATAACATATCAAAAAACAGTAAAATACCTATATTAACGTTAACTTTTGAAGGTTTTCACTAGAAAAAATTTCCTAACATGAGATTACTACATTGTAAATCTAAAGCTAATCTCATATACTATTATTCATTATTAGAATAAAAAGATAAAAATAAAAAGAAATAAATAAATAAATGAAATAAGAAAATAAGTGTAAACTATATAAAATACTATGTAAAAAATAAAACAACCAAAATTGTTATATTCTTCTTTCCTTAGAATTTAATGCCCTTATGAATTCTCAAAAGCTACTACTACATTGGTAGCATTGGT